ATGATCACTATATCTGCGAGGATTTATTATCCCACACGATAATATGATTAATTTAAGTCTCTACAAAGATTCTCATAATCTTACACGGAACTTAAATGGATTATTTAGATTATAAAAAGACAGTTGGTTTAACGGTTGGTCATTGAAACCATTGATTGTACATATAAATTGAATCTCTATACCTGCGAAATCTTATTGATTTACACGGTATAAGATCACTTTAAATTCCTGCGAAAATTCTTAAAATCTCACACGGCAAGTTAATAAAATACAAGAAACCTTCTCTTATTCAGTTGTTTTTTTTTTAGATGAGAATTGAATTCTCTCCTCTTAATCTTTTATACAATTGTACATGTGGATAGAAAGTGTCATACGATATGAGTGTAACAATATTATTGACAAGTAAAGGACCTTAGAATTAATGGAGATAAAAAATAATCATGCCCATACATATTACTATGTCTTTTCATGCTAGAAACATATTTAAAACCCAATTCCAAAATTTGGCCTAATGATCACACACATTTTTTTTTAGAAAAAGCTATAATGAGAATATGCCCAAAATTATGTGAGGCTTGCAAGCCAAATTTCATTTATAATCTCTTCATCCCTCTTCTTCACTTTTCTTTTCAAACAACAATCATTTTATTTATTTATTTATTTATTATTATTTTATTATTTTGTCAAAACACTACAAGTCTATACTAAAATTTGTTCATGGCAGCAAGTCCAACTTCCATATGAAGTCTCTCCTTCTTACCTTAAAGAAGTGTTATGAATATGAAAAAAAAGCCAAATAAATGATTAATCTTAATGAAACTAAATCGGATATACAAATAACCGAGTTCAAATAAACATAACTCATAACACAAGAAAATGAGCAGACGGACAGGAAAGCATGGGAAAGGATTTTCATCTCTAATGTAAATAATTAATCAACGAGGCATTTACCGTTTTTGAATCAGAAGAACTCCGTCTTCGTCTCTTTCCGGTTTACTCTTTCTCTCCGTTTCTCTTTTTGTGTCTTGGATCAGCTCCCCTTTCTGTTTGTTCTGCGTCTCTGACTGGGTGGGAATAGTAGCTCGGTGTTCTCCTTCTCCTCTCTTCTCAGACGTCTCTGTTTTCCAGAAAAAAAACTCTTCTCTGTCACTGTTTTCTTCTTTCTTCACCTCTGTCTCTGTTTTTTCCTAGTCCAGCTTTTGTTTTTCTTCCCCTCTTGCTCTGTCTCTATTTCTCTTTCTCTCCAGATTCTCTCTTCGTTTCTTCTTTCTCTCTTTATCGTCTCCGTCTACGTCTTTCTTCCTCTCCTCGGTCTCTGTTTTTTTTTCTTTTCGTCCAGCTCATTTTTTTTTTTTTGCTTTTCTTGCTCTCTCTCCCAACCTCCTCCTCCAGTTTTCTGTTCGGTCTTATATAGAGGATGGAAGAGGTGAATCATTGCTCTTCTGCTCTGCTTCTTCTTTGCTACTGTATCTGCTGTGTGCGCCGAAGTCTGCTTGTTTTTTCTACGTTTCTGTCTCTATTTTCTGTGCCGTCCCGTCTGCTTTCTCTGCTGTGCCATTTCCTTCATGCATGCGTGCGTCCTTAGTTCTGTTTCTTTTCTCCTGCCAGCCGAAAGTATATGCGTACGTGTTCCGGTTGCTTACTGTTATTTATGCTCTGTTTTGCTTCTTCTGCATTTCATGTCTGTTTTCTGTTGTTTCTTTCAGCGTCTGCAGCTCGTGCGTTCTGTTGTTTCTGTCATTTTTCCTGCTACATGGCCGAAAGTGTATGCTTATTTTATTTCTGCGTCTCTGTGCCTGTGTTTCTTCGCTGTTTTTGCATTTCTTTACTGTTTTTGCATTTTGTGTCTCTGCATTTCGTGTCTCTTTTCTGCTGTTTTCTTCTTTTTCTGCACATGGCCGAAAGAGTATGTGTGTGCGTGTGTTCTGATGCTCTCTTCCTTTTTTTTTAGCCATTCTTTAATGCTTTTTTTTTGTTAATTAGATTGAGGGAGAGAAAGAAAAGTTTAGTTTTAAAATACATATTTTTAAATGGAAAAAATTTAAGGAGAGAAATTTAAAAAAAGTTGAGTCTCAAAAAAAAAATTGATTCCCAATATCTTTGAATGGTTGGGATAATTTGAGAGAGATTTTTTTCAAAAAAATTGAGCAAGATTTTTTTTTTGAAAATATAATCCTAGAAGGATTAAATTTCATTTTTATATTTTTCGTATTTTTTTATTTTTTATTATTAAAATTTTAAAAAAAATGCCCGGACAAAATACGGTGTTCACAGTTGCCCCTCTTTACTTGTTTCTTATGTAAGTATATGAAAAAGTGTGCTTTTGAATTCTTACATAAGTGACAAGTAAAGATAGAACATGTATTTTGGCCGGCCATGCAATACCTATGAAAAGACCTAATTGCCCTTGACACGACAAGATATAATTAAATGCCAGACTATTGCTTAACTAACACAATGACATGATTTTTTTTGTTTTAGTAATGTGATGAGATGATGTAATGCAAAAGAAAATGATCAATTGACAAAGATCCAAACACAATGCAAGACAATAAAATGATTTTTTTTTATTTTTTTTAGCAATGTGATGCAAATGAAAATAACCAAATAACATAAAAGAATGCAAGACTATAGGATAACGAACACTGTAAAATGATGAATTTTTTTATTTCTTGATGTTTTTGTGATGCAAATGAAAATAACCAAATGACAACGATCCAAACAAAATATACGTTGACTAGTTGCCCCCTCATCATTTGATTGCTAAGTGAAAATTTCATAAGATGATATTTTTATCTTAGAAATGAATGAAGAGAGAAACATGTATTTTGTTTGGAAGGGCAAGACTCTTAGGTACCTACAACTAAACAAAAAAACAAAACAACAAAACAAAATAAAATAAAGGGTTTAAAATGAAATGTGATTTAAGAACTAAACAAAACAAAACCTCAATGGAGATGAAATTCCTATGTTCCAAAGGACCTGGTGGATGCTTGCCTTTACAGGGCTTTAAAGAATCGTACCAGTTCGTACTAGGTTTTGGGGTGCCTGCCGTTACAGGGCTTTAAAGAATCGTGCCAGCCGGTACTGGGCTTTGAGGTGCCTGCCGTAACAGGGCTTTTAAAGAATCGTGCCAGCCGGTACTGGGCTTTAGGGTGCCTGCCGTTACAGGGCTTTAAAGAATCGTGCCAATCAGTACTGGGCTTTGGGGTGCCTGCCGTTACAGGGCTTTGGGGTGCCTGCCGTTACAGGGCTTTAAAGAATCGTGCTAGCCGGTACTGGGCTTTGGGGTGCCTGCCGTAACAGGGCTTTAAAGAATCGTGCCAGCCGGTACTAGGCTTTAGGGTTGCCTGCCATGACAGGGCTTTGGGGTGCCTGCCGTTACAGGGCTTTGGGGTGCCTGCCGTTACAGGGCTTTAAAGAATCGTGCCAGCCGGTACTGGGCTTTGGGGTGCCTGCCGTAACAGGGCCTTAAAGAATCGTGCCAGCCGGTACTAGGCTTTAGGGTTGCCTGCCGTGACAGGGCTTTGGGGTGCCTGCCGTTACAGGGCTTTAAAGAATCGTGCCAGCCGGTACTGGGCTTTAAAGAATTATGCCAGCCGGTACTGGGCTTTGGGTTGCCTGCCGTGACAGGGCTTTAGGGTGCCTGCTGTTACAGGGCTTTAAAGAATCATGCCAGCCGGTACTGGGCTTTGGGGGGTGAGAATAGGTTTTATTTCACATGGAAGATATGAGAAACTCACATGTGAAGTTCGTTATTTCTTCTCTTAAAAAAATTTTTTTTTTGTTGTTGTTGTTGTTGTTTTGTTTTTGTTTGTTTTTTTTTATATGTCATTTTGCCCCATCCAAATGTGGCGTGTTTCTATGACAAGGGATGCAATGTGGTAATGCGCCTTGTATGATTTTCGTAAGTGCTGAAAATATGTACAATATACCATGGATGGATGATTTGCAATGTAAAAGGTTGAACCTTTGTTTGTCTCAATTTATGAGACTTCCTTTTATGACAAATGCAAAGGGTAAGACGCGCTTATTTGCCCCAATGCAAATGTATGAATAATGCAAATGTATTGCAAAAATTTTATTGGAAAGCTTAATGTTGAAAACTATCTTAATATTTATCCGCTTTTGAAAATTTTGTGCACATTGAATAAATCATTTCGAACATAAGGTAATACCTCTAAGTCCGTTATTTAACCTTTATTCATTAATAGGTGTAGTATCACAGTATGCCGTTGCCCCTCTTTAGAAAATTCCAATGACCAAATTCTCGTCACTTGATCTTGTCTTCAAGCTAATGAGACCAACTATTATGACCGAACACTGATAGCGCACATGCTCTCATTATTATTTCACACTTACGCAATGATCTTGATATCTCAAGGGCGAAAGGCGAGAATGAAGATACCAACATTCTATGTCAAGTAAATGTGTCAATAAACATTGTTCCTTGAATGCGAACCTGCTGCAACATAAGGGATATGAATTTGAATATGATAACACGAAACGAGAAGAAAGATGGTCTCAAAGGAGCAAGGGCGGAAAAAATTCATTCACTGATGCTAAAATTCATAGAGAAATGGGAATATCTTGGTTTATGAGTACAAATGGCCAAAGCGCGAATGGGATATATGGATTTACTTAATCACATCTCTTCCTTTAGCTTTTCAAAACCCCAACAGGTGTTTCACTGAGCTGCTATTGATATGCATAATATGAGAGACGATGGAGACAACTTTCCCAAACATAGATAATTAACTTTTGATGCCTTCCTTTTCTTCTCCTAAGACATCCTTTTGTCTTGGCGAACTCTTCTTCTTCTTATCATGGCTTTGCCCCCTTTTTTTTTTTAGCTCTAACTTTTGCTTAGATTACCTTTACAGGTTTTTAACCTAACGAGCTATTCTTTCCTTTTCATTTTCTATTAGCTCTAACTTTTGCCTAGGTTGCCTTTACAGGTTTTCAACCTAACGAGCGCTTCATTCTTTTTCATTTTCTGTTTAAGCAAAGTAACGCTTGACAGCATCTGCATTAATGGGCTTTGCTAACTCTTGACCGTCCATGTCAGCTAGGATCAGTGCTCCTCCAGAAAAGGCATGTTTGACAACATAAGGTCCCTCATAGGTCGGAGCCCATTTGCCTCTATTATCTTCTTGGTTAGGCAATATTTTCTTGAGTACAAGATCCCCAGCACTGAATTCCCGTGGGCGAAGTTTTTTATCAAAAGCTCTTGCCATTCTCTTTTGGTACAATTGTCCATGACACATTGCAATGAGCCTTTTCTCTTCAATCATGTTAAGTTGCTCAAATCGGGTTCGTATCCATTCATTTTCTTCTAAATCTACCTCTGCCAATACTCTTAAAGATGGTATTTCTATCTCAATGGGTGTAACAGCTTCCATTCCATAAACAAGGGAGTATGGGGTCACCCCTATGGATGTGCTTGCAGTAGTACGATAACCATGTAAAGCATAGGGAAGCATCTCATGCCAATCCTTATAAGTTACTGTCATTTTTCCAATGATCTTCTTAATATTTTTATTGGCTGCTTCAACTGCTCCATTCATTTGAGGTCTATACGGGGCTGAATTATGATGCTTGATTTGGAACTTCTCGCAAAAGTTCCTGACTTCCGTTCCATTGAGATTGGGACCATTATCAGTAATGATCCTTTCAGGAATCCCATATCGGCATAAAATATTTGTCTTCATGAATTTAAGGAACGTCTTTTGCGTGATGCTAGCAAATGAATTTGCTTCTACCCATTTTGTGAAATAGTCAATCGCGACAAGGATGAAGCGATGTCCATTCGAAGCTTTTGGTTAATTGGGCCAATAATGTCAATGCCCCACATTGAGAATGGCCAGGGTGATACCAAATTATGTAATGGGATTGGAGGAGCATTTATCCTATTAGCATAGATCTGACATTTATGGCATTTCTTGACATGCTCAAAGCAATCTTTCTCTATTGTTAGCCAGAAGTAGCCACACCTTTGAATCTGTTTGGCCATAGTGTGACCATTCGCATGCGTGCCACATATGCCCTCATGTCCATGATTTTATTTGCTTCTTCTGAACTCACACAGCGAAGTAAAGTACCATCATAACCCCTCTTGTACAGAACATCTTGACTGATAAAGAATGTCATAGCCAAACGACGAAGGGTTTTCTTTTCATTCTCAGTCATTCCAGCTGGGTATGATCTCTTAGTGATATAATCCTTAATATCCTGGAACCAAGGATATTCTTCTCGATCTTCTTCAACATTCAGACAGTATGCTGGAAAGCTTCTAGCTTCCACTTGGATGGGTTGGATATGGACTCCACAATCAAGTTGGATCATTGCTGCTAAAGTGGCTAAAGCATCAGCGAAACGGTTTTTATCTCTAGTCAAGTGATGAAAGCTAGCAACCTTAAATTGCTTAATCAAATCTGTTAGGAGTTCTTGATAGGGAATCAATTTTACATCCTTTGTTCTCCATTCTCCTGTTACTTGATGAATAATGAGAGCTGAATCACCAAATACCTTCAAACACCGTATACCAAGGGTAATAGCTGCTCGAAGACCATTAACACAAGCTTCATATTCTGCTATGTGTTAGTACAATCAAATTCTAATTTGATGGCCACTGGAAATTGTTTTCCTTCTGGTGAAACGATCACCGCTCCTACCCCATTTCCATGCATGTTGGCGGCTCCATCAAAATACATTTCCCATTCTTGCTCTTCATTGTTTCCTTCATCACAACCTTCTTCTGTAGTGCATATGCCTTCATCAGGAAATTGAAAATCTAATGGCTGGTCATCCCCTAAAGGATTATCGGCCAAGTGATCTGCTATTGCACTACCTTTGACTGACTTTTGCATCACATGCTTTATATCATACTCTGATAGTACAACTTGCCATTTTAGTACTCTACCAGCAATGTGCGGGCTCTCAAAGATGTATTTAAGTGGGTCCACTCGTGAGATTAGCCAGGTAGTGTAGTAAAGCATGTATTGCCTTAGCCTTCTAGTTGCCCATACTAGTCCACAACAAGTTCGCTCAATCACCGGATAACGAGCTTCACACTCATTAAACTTCTTGCTCAAGAAATAAATCGCTCTTTCCTTCTTTCCAGAATCATCAAGTTGACCTAGCATTGCTCCCATTGAGCGAGGTAAAGTTGTTAGGTAAAGGATTAGTGGACGATCTGTGTGATGGAGGGACCAAAATCGGGGGATTTAACAAATAATCTTTAATTTTATCAAAGGCCTTTTGACAATCATCATCCCATGTCTCCTTGCAATTTTCTTTAACAGCTTAAACATTGGTTCGCAAGTGGCTGTTAGATTGGCAATGAATCTAGCAATGTAATTCAATCGTCCCAAGAAACTTCTAACTTCTTTCTCTGTTTGGGGAGATGGCATTTCTCGAATTGCTCTCACTTTATCTGGATCTACTTCTATCCCTTTACGACTCACAATGAATCCTAATAACTTCCCAGAAAGAGCTCCAAAAATGCATTTGTTAGGATTCAATCTTAGCCGATATTCGCGTAATCTCCCAAATAGCTTTCTAAGGACTCCAACATGACTCTCATTCTCCGCTGATTTAGCTACCATATCATCTACATATACTTCAATTTCTTTATGCATCATGTCATGGAATAGTGCTACCATAGCTCGTTGATAAGTTGCCCCAGCATTTTTCAAACCAAAAGGCATTACCCGATAACAATAAGTTCCCCATTGGGTTGTAAAGGTTGTTTTCTCTTATCCCTTTCATGCATAGGGATTTGATTGTACCCTGAATAACCATCCATAAAGGAATAGCGATAGCTTCGAGCAGTATTATCGACCAATACATCAATGTGGGGTAATGGAAAGTCATCTTTGGACTCGCATTATTTAGATTACGATAATCAACACACATTCGAATCCGACCATCTTTTTTAGGAACAGGAACAATATTTGCCACCCATTGTGGGTAAGTTACTACCTCCAAAAATCCTGCTTCTAACTGCTTTATTACTTCTTCTTTTATTTGCAAGGACACCCCCGTGTTCATTCTCCTTAACTTCTGTTTCTTAGGCTCGACCTTGGGAAGTAATGGTATTTTATGAGAAGCAATGCTTGGGTCTAGCCCAGGCATGTCTTTATATGACCATGCAAACACATCTATGTATTCTTTGAACAACTCAATCATTTGTTCTCTTTCAGGATTATCTACTATTTTGAGCATTCTTTGATCCTCCTCGGTTCCCATATTAACCATCTCAATCACTTTTCATGTGGGCATATTCCCTTATCACTCAATTCAAGCATCTTTGAAAAAGTTTGGATTATGTCTTCATCATCAGACTCACAATCATGCATATCAGTGGCAACGAATGAATCATCTTCACAGGGTTTATTAATCTCTGGGTGGGAGATGGAATCAGAAGAAACAAAATCCCTGGATAATGAATATGGAATGAGATAAAATAAGAACAGGAACGAAACGGAGAAAGATGTATTGAAGTAGATAGGGTGGAATAAAGAAATAGACATGAATGCAATTGAAATTCATTTTCATGAATTATGTGTATCAAAAGTTTGCATTAGTGAATACCTAAAACCTGGGCTCAAAAGTGGATAAAGTAGGAACAACATAATTGAAACAATTACTCTAAGCTAATGACATCATTGGCCTCTTCAAACTCCCAATTCGCTAGAACTTTGTTGGAATCATCGACTGCAATTGAGGCACTTGTTCTGCATGCTACATCTTCATTAAAAGAGATCACTGAGATAGTTGGTTTATATATCATCTCGGACGGGCCTGGGAAGGATTCTTTAATGTGTGGAATCTCCAATTTACTAGCCTTTTTGCCTATTGCCAAGCTTGCTTTGTCTTTCATCTGGTCTTCTAGGGTAGGCTCATACCCTAACCCTTGGCGATTACAATTATCCAAAACCTTAATTGGACACGTAATTCCTTGTAAATGAGAGCCTAAACCTTTCCCTGGCATAAACCCACTCTTTGCCATGATTTTAGCCACGACGGAATTGATGTTGTGAGCACTATCGCAAATACTCTCGACCTCTAGGCTTTGAAAGGAAACTCCATGATCTTTCTCTGCAGCCTCAATATAAGGGAGTGAGCTTGGTTTGCTCACCATGATTTCCTCCTCTCCTTTAACTGCTATAATTCTCCCATCACTGATGAACTTAACCTTTTGATGTAAGGTAGAAGGAACAGCCCTAGCAGAATGAATCCATGGCCTTCCTAGCAGCATTGTGTAACTTGGGTCTATGTTCATGAGTTGGAAATCCACCTTAAATCTGCTCGGCCCTATCTCCAGGGAGAGACAAACGGATCCTAATACTTCCCGTCTTGATCCATCGAATGCTCTTACCACAATATTACTTTTATGTACACTTGAAGCTTCTAGTGATAATGATTCAAATGTGGAGAGCGGCAAGACATTTAACGCTGATCCTCCGTCAATTAATACTCTTGCGATTATGAACCCTTCACATTTCAAAGTGATGTGTAAAGCCTTGGCTTGGTGGATAGCGGTTTCTGTAACTTCCTCTTCCGAAAAGGAAATGGTAGAGGAGGCTTTTACAACATTCATTACACTTGCCACCTTCTCAGGGGTTATATTAGGCTGCACAAAAGCTTGATTCAACACTTCCTGCAATGCTTGGCGATGCGCTTGGAACTCAAAATCAAAGAAAGTATGGAGATACGCGCTGGAGTTTTCTTCAATTGGTCCACAATGCTGTAATCACTTTGCTTCATAATCGATAAAAACTCATCTTCTAATTTTTCCATTTCTTTAGGATTATCCTCCTTTGGCCTGTCAATACTTGCATTTTTCTCTTTTACCATTTTCCTAATGTAGGATGGTAAGTATGGTTTTCCACTTCGAGTAATGCCCCCTTGGTTTGCCATTTCATTGCTTGTCCCGGCAATTAACGTTGGTTTTTGTGGTTCTCCACAATGCTTTGATATTTCCACGGGACTGCTCGATCACTTTCATAGGGAAAGGGATGAGGCGTGCTTATGGTCAATGTTGGTTGTCTTACGTGAGGTACAAGATCTGCAGAGGCTTTGTTTATCACAAAAGAGACTGCCTGAACCCGTTCTTTTGGGTTCGAATTTTTAATGACAAGCTCAACATGTTTTTTTCTACCATGCACACTTTGGCGTCTCCCTTCTTTACAGACACGATCCCTAACGCCATCATTTTTCTAACAGCTCCTTTAAACTGTTCACAACTTTCTATGTCATGGCCTATTTTCTCCTGATGATATTCACAGTATCCAGGCATTTGATCACTGATATTATTCGTGAGGAGCATTTCTCGCATATAGCCATACTCCTTTAAGTGAGCATAAAGCTCATTCATAGGCATCCTGATCCTTGCGGAGCTTTTGAAGCACGCATCTTCTTCTTCAATAGCGTTGACTCGTTTTTGTGATTTGGGAGTGGATCAGTAGTAAGGGTAGAGCTTCCTCTTCTTTAAGCTGGATATGGTTAGAATCAACTAGGTCTAGCACATTCCTTTTAAACGTCACACAGTCTTCTATTGAGTGCCCAGGTGCACCCATGTGGTATTCACAAACAACATTTGGATTATACCATGCCGGGTAAGGCGGACCAAGAGGCTTATAAGGTCGTGGACCTAATAATTGGGCTGTCAAAAGTTTATGATACAATTCAGCATTTGTTAATCTAAAATTGGGCCATGGGCGACTATCCCTGGATTGGACATTTCTCCTCTCTCCATCCTGTCCGTGCTTGTTAGGCCTGAACCCAAATTGTTGCTGTCTTTGATTCCTTCCCTCTACTTGATAAGGGACTTGAGAATTGGTAGCTGCTTGTCTTTAGGTTGAATATAGTTCACATTCCCTTCTTTTCTTTTTTGGTCATAGTTCTTTCGTGAACTACTTTCAGCTTGAGAGGTGGCTATCTTCCCTTCTTGTATGTCTATGTCAATCCTTTCCCCAATTACCATTAAATCAGCAAATCAGTGACATGTGTTCCTATCATGTGTTGGTAAAATGGCTTAGGCAATGCACGGATGAAGTACGAGCAAAGTTCGGAATTAACCATTGGAGGTTGCACTTGCGAAGCCACTATTCTCCATCTTTGAGCATATTCTTTGAATGACTCTGATGATTTCTTGGTCATTGCTTTCAATTGTTCTCTGGTCGGAGCAGTATCAAGATTGAACTTGTATTGTCTCATGAAAACATCCACAAGGTCTTTCCATCTTTTGATCTTGGTTTGGTCTAGTTGCATGTACCAAGTCAATGCGGCTCCAGTTAAGCTTTCAGGAAAGAAGTTTATCAGAAACTTCTCATCTTGTGACCATATGGACATCTTTGTGCAATAGGCCCTCAAATGATAAATTGGGTTACTTGTACCATCATATTTATCGAAGCTTGGCATCTTGAATTTCTTGGGAACATCAATTTCTGGGGTCAAACATAATTCTTTCAAGTCTAAGGAACCCCACGTGTTTGATCCTTGAAGAGCCTTCAATTGATCTTTCATCTCTCCAAGTTCTTCTTTCAACTCCTTCTCTTTATGTAGCACTTGTGGGATTTGGAACATGTAGGCATGATCTTCCCAGGACCATCCGGTATGTTAAAGGCCCCTATCCCAGAATCTTGTTTTTCTGGCGTGGGTACTTTAGGATCTGATCCTCTGTTGGCTCAATTGTTCTATTAGCCGCGTTCTCATCTGCTACGGTATTCGTGGTGGGTTATCATCACTCCGTCCTTTTAGAGCCTCTGTTAGCAATTTCATCATGTCACTTATTTCGGCCATTTTAGACTCCACTGCAGACATCCGATCATTTAAGGTTGCTGACTCATTCACGTTTGAATTTCCATTGCACGACTACGCGATCGTGTGTTGTATGCTCGAGTGGCGGAATTGGTCAACCGAGTTTTCTTTCGAGGCGCAATGTTGGCTTACCTGTGTAACATAATAATTAATTTTAATAAGTTTTACCTTACGTTTGTTTTCGTAAGATATCCAGCATTGTGTAGACATAAGGGTTTCACGACGCTAGCACCCTTTAAATTCCTCCAGAAATTTATTATTTCATAGGGGATTTAAAGTTGGACCATTGAATTAGAAGGACATTGGATCCTATCGAAATTCAGGTCTT